GTTATGATCAGTGGCATTGATCTTTTCGGTCTCCTCTACGGGGCGGTGGTCCAGCCACAAGACGACGTTGCGATCGGCTCCGTCGGCATTGTCAAAGGAAGGACCGGTGACGGCAATGGGTTCGTCCGTGTCGTGACTGAAGACGGCCAGCGAGCAAGTGGCGTCGAACCCAATGCCCTTGATCTTGGAGACGTCGACGCCGGACTCCTCAACAACGCGCTTAACACAGATGCAGATGCAGTTCCAGATGTCAGTGGTTGATTGTTCCTACGCTTGTTAACGGGAAGGTTCTGTGAGTTGCAGCTTTCGCTTCTTGAGGCAGTGGAAGAGAGGGCTGCTCACGTAGTAGCCTGTCTGGGGCTGCCACAGCTTGATGGTCTCAGAGGCCAGCGACTTGATGTCGCCTGTCTCGTCAATGATGCAAGCACGGGCAGAGCCGGTACCGACGTCAATGCCGATGAAGTGGTTGTTGGTGTCGTGTCGAGCTTGCGCGCCTGGGCGCTCCCAGTAAGAGCCACGGGACTCGAGGGTCGGGCGCGGGGCGCTGTGTCATGTTAGCACCAAAGGTTGCTCGTGAGGCCCAAGGACAAGCTCAATGGAGCGATCGCGGTGACTAACTTCAAAGAGGCCATGGCGACGGGAAGTAGCACAAGGCTACGGGCGAAGGTCCTCGTGGAGAGGTGGCTTGGAGGGGTAGCTTGGAGGGGTAGCTCGTGAGTCGTGGGCAGGGTAGATTGCTGGTCGAGTACAAGGGGTTTTCAGCGCCGTTTCGGTCAAAGTGAAAAGGCGAGGGGAAGAAAGAGGAGGAAGGAAGACAAGAAGGAAACAGGCAGGAGCCCGGGGGGATCCTGCTAGTTGTAGCAGCGGCGTGAAGATCGTGAAGTACCGTCTCTAGTTTCTGGCGTCCGAACGGTCGGGGCGGCGTCCAGACGGCTTAGACGGTGGAGATGGGCGACAGGGTGAGCAGTGACGGTGGCCCCGAGCTCCCAGTGCCCCTCCACACCTCGCAGCTCCCAGTACTCCATCAGGGTCTCGTCGGTCAATCAAGCCAGCGAATTGGGGTGGGGAACCCGGGAGAGCCTGAAGCCATGGCTTCTAGGCGCATCGTGCCACAGCCTGGCAAGATCGTGTTTAAATCATCGAGGTGTTGTATCGGCTGCTCATTTTCCACGGAACAGCTTATACCGGCCCTGATCCGACAGCTCCTGAGCCTTGGTCACCAACTCTTTACCCCTGGTGGCTTGATGTGCCGTGCAGCGGGAGCCAGGGACAGCAGATCAGGTTCTCAGCCGCAAGCGTCACCGTTCATTCCACCACTACTGCGTGCCCAAGATGTAGGTAGGTACAATGTCCAGTCAGTGCCTGATGCGCCGACAGCCCGAGACCGGCCCCGGCGGAACGGCAAGCGCACTGAACGGTGGCTTCCCAGGACAGAGCAGGTTGGTTCAAGATCAACGGAGGGGGCAAAGGGGCGAAAAAAGGGACCCTTGTGGCAAAACACCAAAGGAAAAACACACTCACTATCTGAAATCCAGCCTTGGACCCCTCCACCCCCTCCACCGCAACCCCACAATACCCATGCCCCCCCCCCCCTCGAGTTTCAACCCCCCACCCAGTAATTCTATCCTCCTTTTAAGAAGCCCCCAAGCCTCCAAGCACTTTTTCAGCGTATGCGACCGCTCCAGCCCTCCATG